GAAATGTTCATAAAATGTGAATGATTTGGAATTGTGTTCTGAAAACTATGATTATAATTATTTGGAAAAGAGATAAAAAAGTTCTGACAAATTCTGGCAACAGATCTACCAAAGTGGTAAGGAAGGTTACCTTTGGATTGTGAACTAAGGTTGATAGCCTTTTTTCCCTTTTGATGAGCAGGCCTTACTTTTATAATAGGGGAAACTTAAAAAAACGAAACAAGGAGGTCTTATTTCCGCAACAGTCCTTGGGTATTATCCTTATTAAATACTGCCAAACACAAAGCAACCGAAGAGTGTTTCAACTGTCATTCTTCAGAAAACAAAGTCGGCTTGAGACCAAATAGGACGGTTCCCACACTCCCTCCTACCTCCTGTTTTTCTGCCCCTCAGCCCGGAAATGCTCTGTGCTGAAGTCTGGCAGCCTCCTGCCCTGGAGGTGAGGGGCAGGCAGCTACTCTCCAGGGCATCTGACGGTGAAAGTGGAAGGAGACAGGCATCTGTCCCAGCTGCGGGCAGGAGTCATGGCTCGTGCCAGGTACAAGGAGCACACACCATGTTCTTATCTTTACTGAGGAAGCCAGCTTTTCCTTCTCACCTTCCGAGAGGAGGAGCCAGTACTGGCTCACGTCCCTGGACGGAGTTACACTTCCCAGCTGGCCCCTCTCCAAGTCAGCCAGTTGTCCATCTCTATCTCTGAGGACCAGCTTTGACAAAGACCTTGGCCCTGTTTGAAAATTCCCTTTCCTTTGCTCTCCCAAACAAGATTAATTTGAAACGGTCCAGTTCATCTGACATTTCCTCCTCTGAGGAGCGTGTGTTCATGTGAGGGGGAGGGTCTCCTGGAGACAATCCCTAGGCTGTCTGCTTCAGTCCACATCCCTCCCCAACGCTGATGATCTGCAGTGCCTTCAGAAGCACGCACCTGGGATGGAGAGGGCCCTGGGGGCCCATTTTCTGGGGAATGGTTGAAGGACATGGAGCTGCTTAGCATGGAGAAGAGAAAACTCAGGGGGATCCTGAGAGTTGTCTCAATGAGCTGTTACCACGAGAAAGGTTTATTTTGGAATGTCTCGAAGAAAAATGGAAACCAATATGGAGAAGTTGCAAGGAGGCAAATTACCTTCACAGCAGAAAGAAATTTTAATGACTAGAATTTTCCAACAAGCAATGGGCTCTAGAGTGAAGGAGATAAGTTTCACCCTAGGAAATCAATACAGCAAGTTTGTTTCAGGCGTCACCAACTTGTGAGTACAAACTTTTTTCTTTTTCAACAATTACACTATGCTTCTTATGTGCCAGGCTCTGTTCTAAGTACTTTACATGTATAATTCCTGGAATCCTCACAACAACCTTCTGAAATAGTATATTATCATCTCCCATTTACAGATGAAGAGAAATAGCTCAGAGAGGTTCAGTAACTTGCCCAGGGCCACACCATGACTCAAACCCAGGAGGTCTGGCTCCGTTCATATTAATACCCCAAGATACGACTGTAGGTCCCTACATGTCAAATTATAGAGTTTGTACCCCTAACTCAGAGGTGCCTGGGTCATTTCCAGGACTCTCCAGGGACTACCTACCTCTGCCTCCAACCTAGTGCCTGCAGGCCCCTGTCATGTGCCATGGCTTCCCTCTCAGTGACATCTCAGCTCTCAACACTGTTCAGACGGATTTGCTGTTCCTTCTGCCAGCCGTGCTAGTTGTGAGAACACCAGCGTCTGTGCCAAGGGAGCTTCCTCACGACGTGCCCTCGTTCCGAGGGCTCAGAGTCCCTGTGTGTCGCTGGGTCCTGAGAGCTTAGAGAATGGTCCCACTTCTGTGCCACAGTTTGACATCCGAGTCCCCAAGAAACACACCGTTTGGCCAGAGTCCTCCACATTTCTCCACAACAGGATGTCTCTCTCAGCTACTGGCCCTCACCCCCTTGGTTACAGAGTTTTAGAGAAGTCCAACAGTTGGAGTTGGGCTATACAATATACTGTCCCTCCCCTGTCAATTTTACTTCTCTCTCAACTGTCTAGTGTCAAAGCAAAATAAATAAAGCTCTTCTCCCCCAGCCACAAAACACAGAGCCTCTGTGTACCAGCTGAAGAGATACTCTGAAGAGATGTAGCCTTGCTTCGCCCAAGGCCCTGCCTAGCCGAAAAGCGCCTGCAATACCTGCGAACAGAAGCAGAAAGGCTGTCGGTCACGGGCGCCGGGGAAAGGGCTGCTGGGTCACGTTGAGGCTGGAAAGAATGGCAAAGGCTTGTCAACTCACTCTGAAGCGTTTCAATCCTAAGTCCCAAGTTTGACAGAAACAGAGTTGGTCGGTCTGTTTCCTCAAACAGCGCCCACTGGGTTTGTTTAGGGAGCAGTAAGCAGTGTTTCCAGGTAAAGTTCTTAGCAGTTTCTGGGTTTGTCTTCATTTATGGGAGATGAAGAGTGGAGCAACTGGCCACACAGTGCTGCTCACCTTTGGGCAAATGAAGAAGGATGGAGATTTACTGATGGGGAGCAATGGTTGTCTAATATGCCGTCTCCTTCAGGGAGAATTTTGGAGATGAGCTTCCTGTGTCTGTACTCTAGTCTCTCTCATACTCTGGGTAAAGGTAGCAAGGATTCATTTAATTTTTTTTAACATCTCTGTATTATCCATGAAACATTCTTATTGTCTTTTATGTGTAATGTGTGGGGTTTGGGACATTCAAATTCTCTGAAGTTTCTGTGAAAATACGGGATAGGGGTAAGAGTGAGGCCCCTCTCACTGTGGCTCTGAAGGAAGGGCGTGGAAGCGAGCCTCAAAATGACCTCCGGGTTCCTTCCTCCTGGTGTCCATGTCTTCGTAGTAACTGTTCCCATATTGAATCCATGTTTGTCTGTCTAGCCAACAACATATGGCAAAAGTGATGGAGCGTGGCTTCCTAGGCCAGATCATGGCTTCCACCTTGGTCTCTTGGATCGTTTGCTCTGGGGGAAGCCGGCCACCATATTGCGGAGGACACTCAAGCAGCCATGTGGGCGGGACCATGTGGGGAGGAACTGAAGCCTCCTGCCAAAGCCAGCACCCACTTGTCCGCCAAGTGAGTGAACCACCTTCAAAGTAGATTCTCTCTCTCCAGGAGAGCTCTCTGACTGCAGCCCTGGTTGATATCCTGACTACAACCTCATAAGAGATTCTCAGCCTGAACTGCCTAAATTCTTCCTTTCCTGAAGAAACTGTTATAGACACTGATGATTTCAGCCACTATGTCTTGAGATAATTGGTAACACAGCAATTGATAACCCATGCAAAGAGCACATCTGATCACGTGACGGGCTCCCTACTGTAAGCTCTGTGGGTTGGCGTCATCATGCACCACATCCTTGGGAAGGCAGAGGGCAGTTTCCCTGTTTTATAGCAGGGGTTGGCAAACTAGGGCCCATGAGCCAAATCCAGCCCTCCCTGGGCCAAGTCTGCTCATGTTATTTACATACTATCAGTGGCTGATTTCTTGCTACAATGACAGAGTTGAGTAGTTGTGACAGGCTGGATGTTTCACAAAGCTGAAAACATTACTGTTTAGCCCTTTATGGAAAAAGCTTGTTACTCCATTCTATAGGAATTTACAGTGTGATGGTGAAACGTCTCTCACACATACACAGTTACGCACACCGTCCCCACACAAGAACGTACACACACCACTCCACCTACCCACAGCGCCCTCTGCTGTCTGCACCTGGCCAACTCCTATTCATCCCTCATACTCAGTTGAGATGCCACCTACTTCATTCAACCTCTACCTGCAAAAGTCCTCTCCTCCTTTGAGGTTGGCTTATATATCACTTCCTTTCCTCACCATCTCAAGCTAAGCAAATTCTAACAACAAGTTTTTCCTACCTCTTTTAGAATTCCAATCAATCACATGGTGGAGTTTTATTTAGTGTTTTTCTCCTCCAGTGGACTATGAGTTTTTCAAGGGCAAGGACTGCATATTATTCATTTTATAACTTCAGAGCAATATGCCTTTGTTTATTCATCACAAGCACTTGCCAAATGCTTCTTATTTGCCGGATAATTGCTGGCATTGGGATGCACAGAGAAAAAGACCAAGTCCTTGCTCTCAGCTTGCTCTAGGATGGAAGTGGAAAAGCAAATTGGTAGTAGGATTCGCTGTGATTGAGATGTGTGCAAGCTTCATGGTGAGCGTATTTGCGATAACCATATAAATATCTGCAAAAAAATGGTTTTCCACACTTTCATAGCATTTACTATGTGTCAGATACTGTACTATGTGCTTACATACATTATAATTTATTTACTCGTGACACCACATGAGGCAAATATGTACTACAATTATTTCCATGTTACAGAATGTAGAGGCCCAGAGAAGTCAAGTAACATGCCCAGAGTCACAGAGCTAAAAATGTCAAATGAATTTCAGAGCAATTATTTAGTTGAATAATTAATTCCAAGTCTCAGTAACAATGCAAGTGCCAGGAATTGGGATAATGCTGCTCTTTTCTCTTTGAACTCTAAGTGGATGGTTTCTGTCAAGCTGGAAATTCCTGCTCCAAAGGCTTTCTGATGACTTGCACTGTGGTTGGCATTTTATTTCTAGGAATTGACTTCTGGGAGATTCTGCTCTTTTAATGATTGTGCAAGCCTGGTTTCCTCATTAAATTGCACCATTTGCCACTTTGAAGTCATCCAAGTTATCAGTTTCTACTTTCCTAGGGCTCTGCTGGGTAAGAACACACTCAACAGCGAGGTTACTCCCCAGCATCCAGTGTTTTTTTCTTGTCTAAGTCAATAAGATTATGGATTGTCTACAGCTGGGATGTGAGGTGGGGCTCTGGTGCCTTCTCTCTGCCATCACTTGTCTCCAGCCATGATCTCAGCCATAGCTTAATTGGTTCAAACGTTGGGTATCATTCAATGGACTGTGTACAGTGGCTAATGAAGCTGGTTCTGGCTTAAAGAAAACCACTGCCCCCTGTGGTATAAATCGCTTAATCCATTCTGTTTTTCTTTCTAGGACTGAAGACTTTCGAGCTCCAAAGCTGGCTACTTTTAGAAACATTCAAGTAGGTATTTTTTTAGCCAATCTTTTGTGCTTGGTTCAGTCTTCCTCCCAAAAGATGTGGTGCTTTGTGATGAAGACTGGGGGAGGGGGTGGAGAGTGAGAGAAATCCCCCACTGGGGACAGTGACAGGTGCAGAAAGCAGGTCGTTCCTTGTTCAAGGGGCTTAGCTCAGCAATTCCCTTGAAACAGAAGAGGGCAGAGTGCAGCATGAGGAATGGGTGTCAGCATCAGCAGGAGAGGGAAAGGCCAGTAGATCCACTCCTGCTTCATCCTGTTCACCAGCATTTAACAAGCCCTGACCACATCAGTTAAGAGCTAGACCCAGTTTACAATCAGGCCCTGGAGTTTACAGTGGTGGATGAGACAGACATAGTTCCTGCCCTCCTGAAGCAGTGGGGAAGATCAGAACACAGATGAAAGATTTTTGAAAAAATCATTAAAATGTATGGTAAGCGCTGATAAGAACTAAATACTGGGCTACCATAGAGAATAATCGAGGATTGGGGATGGGACGGGACGTTTATTTAGAATGGAATTATCAGATAACAGCCTCTCTGAGGATGGAAAGGATGGAACTTGAAGGATAAAGCAGCCTTGGGAGAATTCCTGGCAGACAGGATGGATTGTGTGAAGGCTCTAAAGCTGAGGTTGGCCCAATCTAAAAGAAGCTAAGTGGCTCTCGGGGGACCTCCAGGCTTCCTGCCTAGACTGCTTTCTCCAGAAAGTGTCCCTCTGCCCCAGGCCCAATGCCTGTCAGTGCTTCCCTTTGTTTCATCCAAACACACTCGTGGTGAGAAACTGAGAACCAATATGGCCCACTGTTCACTGGCTCTCAGCTCCAGCTATAGCTCCAAGGCAGAGTAGCTGACTTTCATGAAGGAAGGAGGACGCTTTGGGACTTCGGATCCCTTCTCTTTTATTTTAGGGCAAGCAGGCCTAGGTGAATCCTTACTGTTACAAACTATTTAGGTTCTCTGGGTTCAGATCCTGGCTTTGCCACTCGGAAGCTATAACTTTGGGCTTTGTTACTTAACTGCTCTGTGCCTCAGTGTCCTCATCTGTAAGATGGGTCTGAAAAAGGTATCTACTTCATAGGATTGTTATGAAAATTTAATTAGTTAATGTTAGCTAAGTGCTTAGCTCGGTACTCGGCACGTAAACATTTAACAATTATGTTGCTGTTATTAATACCTGTTATCACACTTCAGCTGTTGTGCCCCTGACACCCCACACGGCAGGGGAGGTGGTATTATGCATTCCCTTGGTGCTGGGCTCCCTGGAATTTAGCCTTAATTATATAACTCAACTCCGACATCGTTTTTATATCAGGCACTGTGTTAGACACTTTACTACACCATTTCCTTTGATCCACATAATAATCTTAAGAAGCATATAGTATTATTCCAATTTTATAGATGCAGAAACTCAGGTTTAAAGAGGTTAACTGACTTCCCCACTGCCATGAAGTTTATGTGATTCCTAGGTCCACAGCTGAGAGTCTGACTCAGCAGGCCTGAGGAAGTTGTCAGAATCTACATTACAAGCCCCTCTCCCATCCTTCCCAGTTCTGATGAGAGTGACCTCTTTACTCTGAAAAACTATGGCCTAGATGATCTCAAAGAATCCCTCTGGCTGCAAAGTCTGTGAAGATGAGAAAGTCCATACATTCAAGTACCCAGTTTAGTGGGGAAGGCAGTTTGTGGCTGTTAATGTTTTTTAAATAAGAGAATTAACTCAGTTCGGGGCATTTTCCTGATGTGGTCACTGTCTACCAGGCATTGGAACTGAAAAATGCTCCCTGCTCCTGTTTTGCATTGTGTAATCCCTGTTCACAATTTTTCATCTACTGTTCCAAAATAGAATAAAATAAAATAAAAATACTCTGAAAACCCAAAGTCTTAAGTTTGGGGCAACACATTTTGCAGTCAAACTTAACTGAACTGAAGTGAAGTTGTGTGCAGATGCTATTCAAACCACCTGCTGTGAATATTTATACATCACACTGCAAAATGATCAATATGCTTGGTTACAGGGTTGTGTTATTTATTGGTAGTTACATAACAAATTACCCTAAAATTTAATGGCTTAAAACAACAAATATTTATTATCTCACAGTTTCTGTGGGTCAGGAGTTCTGAAGCAACTCGCCAGTGCTGCTGGGGCAGCTGTCATCTGAAGGCTTGACTGGGGCTGAAGGATTCTGTTGCAAGATGGCTCATTCATATGGCTGTTGGCAGGAGGAAGCACAATGTCTTTTATGAGTTGGTCTCCGAAAGGTCACATTGTCACTCCTGCTTTGCCCTGTTTTTTAGAAGAGAGTCATCAAGTTCAGTCCCCACACAAGAAGATATTTAGTTTCCACCTCTCAAAGAAGGGAGTATGGAAGAATTTGTGGACGTATTTTAAAACCACCACAAGGGTGCTACACATCCCTCCCTGGGGGTGTTCTGTTATGTACAAGCTATTTTTTTTAAATCACTTTAAATAAGCTAAAGAAATGCAGAATGTTTTAAAATATTTTCAAGCTGGAAGGAACCTCTAAATTATCCAGTAACTAGAGTTTAGTCTCATCTCCTTTACAGAGAAGTGACTTGAGACTCAGAGAGGAAAACAAAATTTGCTAAGAGCATAAATACTGTGTTTCAGACACTGCTAAGTGCGATAGGTGTATCATTTTATTAAATTCTCCCAGCTTTTCTGATGAGGAAATTAAGGATCAGAGAGGCAAGCAGCATGTCCTAGATTAGACATCGAGTGTATCTTGGAGACAGGGCTGAAACCCATATCTCCTAAGGGCCAAGCAGAGTCCTGCACATGGAACACCCCCTCTTATGACCTCCTGGGATATGACAGCAGGCTTGGCAAGCTTAGGCACCATTTTCTTGGAGGATCAAAGTGAAGGGTTTTCTCTCCAAACTTCCAGGGTTCTCTTTAGTCTCTAGATCTCACCTGACTTCTGCTTCCCCAGCTAATGTCCAACCTGAGCATCTCCTCTGGGAACCACACAAGAACTGCAGAAGTTGCAGTGACTCCACTACCTGTTGCCTTACCCTCAAACTGGGTTTTAGAACTTCAAGCTGGGTGGATGCCGCTGAACTGTGAGAGGGTGGGTTCCCACCTTGGGATGCCTTCTCAGGTGGCCTTGGATACAGGTCATGTTCACACTCTCGTCTAAGAGATATTCAAGAACAGGGCCTCGTCCCCAGGGGACCATGGCTGGAGACAGCCTTCCCAAGGGCTGTCAGCTTTAAACTCCATGAAGGATACACCATCCTGAGGAATCTAAGTTAAAAAGTCATAATAGCAATGGTTGTAGTAACAAAAATAAGTTAGGATTCTTTTAGTGACACATGTGAGAAAACCCAACCCAAATGACATAATCTAAAGGAATGTTAACTGAAAAGTCCAGATGTAGAGTTGATTTCAGGTGTGGCATGAAGAAGACAAAGGCTCCAGAAGGACTCGGCTTCTCTTTCGTCTCATAACTCTACTTACTCTGTTGACTCCGCTCTCAGAGGGTCTGACCTGGTCCCTGAATTACTCCCTATCACCAGAAGAATATAATATTCTCATTGGTCAGGTCTGGGTTACAAGATGCTCCTGGACCAGGCGATGGGGAAGAGCACAGACCACCAAAAAACAAACAAAACAAAATCCCAAAACCACTTCATTTTATTGGAAGTAGAATGAAGGGATGTTGCCAATAATTTGGCAAACATTTAAGCTCTTACTACATGCTCAGCTCTGTGCTAAGCACTCTACATGCGTGATCTCATTTAATCTATATAAACAACTCATAAGATATGTATTAATATTACCCCCACATAATAGATGAAGAAACTGAGGCTCAGGGAGGTTAAGTAGCATGCTCAAGGTCACCCAGCTAGTAAGTGATGTGGCTGAGTTTGAACTGGTTCTGTCTGATTCAAGATCCATTCTTGTTGCACTTCATGAAGCTGCCTGTGGCATTTGCTTCCTCTAAGTCATGTAGGCTGGAAACATCAGAGTGTTTTACAACATCTCTTCATCATCGACCTCCAATTAGTTATTAAATCTAGTTGATCCTAACTCCACCAGGTCTGAGCTGTCTCCATTGCCACTGTCCTAGGTAAGGACCTGATGATTCTTCCTGAATACTTGCACTAGCTTATACTTTCCTCAGAGAACATGCAAAGTCTAAGGACCATTATAACTTACATATTCATATTAAAGGTTAGACTCACAAAGACACCTATATCATCCGGCATTCTTGGAAAAGCCTGGTAACACTGCGCCCGCAGCCTCCATGGCAGCGATGTAACTGAGCAGCCGTTGTCGGCTGCTGCCAGGAAGGCACCCACGGTCCCCATCGCTTCTTGTCTGCCGCACGCCTCACTCATTGAAGTCCCTTGCCTGCCCTCCTTAGGCATCTGAGTTTGCAAGTCTAGTACCTAGTCTTGCAGCCCATCTGGGAGGAGGCCCTCTAGGAAGCGGCATTTCTGAGAATAGCAGGCCTGCCTCAGCACTGTGGAAGGAGCTGCCCCCCTGCTGTCCCGCCCCCAACTGAGCTTCTGCCAAGCGTGTAGGAAACAGCCCCGGTTTTGGGTATCTCACTCTAGTTCATCCTCCAGGGGAGTAACATTCGCTGGCATATTATGGAATATCCTTTTTTGACCTTCAGAGGCCAAGGTGTCCATACTTCTTGAAAATCCAATGGAATCTAGACCCCCAGGACTTTCTCTTGCGAGGTTCAGGCCTATCATAAGCTCCCCTACCCAATAACATCATCCAACAGTCACGGATTGAATGCCTGCATGTGCCGGTCACTGTGCCAAGTGTTGAAAAGAATATAGATATGCCCTGTTTCAAAGGCATCCTAGTCTCATGGGGATTTAGAGAGAGAGGAGGGGGGGTACAAATCAAGGCGATGTGTGTTTAAAGGCCTAGAATCAAAGTGGCACAGGCCATAGGGTGGGTGCACAGAGGGAAACCAGGACACTTTGCCTGGGAGTGCATTCCAGA